ACAGGTTGAGCAAGAAAAGCAGGAGGGAAACCTGCTAGCTGCCTGGCAAACAAACTGGGAACAACACAAGCCAGGAACCATCAAAGACCTTTCTATCCACTGCTCTGCTTTCCCCAACCCTTAGAACCCTATTTTAACAATGATCATATAATTGTTTGTTTTTGTCTTAGTAGACTATTAACTCTATAAGTATAGGAAATTCATTTTTTAACTCATTGTCCTCATAAACTCAACATAGTTTTTTAATATACAGTAGCAACTGTGAAATGTTTGTTAAATAAATGCGTTTTAAAAAAGCATGTTATTATTCTTGTGGTCTGTTCAACCTGGAAATTGTATTACCTCACCTGAGCCTCAACTTAGTACACAGAAGTTGAATCCTTCTATTTGTTTTATTCTTTTCTCAACTCTCAAACATGTGCATACCCAAGTGGGAGAGAGAGCAGGAGAAAGAAATGGGGGGACATGGAATAGTAGAAAGAACTGATGAAAAGTAGCATGGAAGATTCTTCCTTTTGTGTATTAAAGTTTACCTGTTTATTTTACAGCAGGAGTGAACTGTGCCAGACTACCCCTTCCAAATTTTCTTTTTTTTTCCCCATTTTTCTTCCCTAATACCAAAGTACTACAGAAAGAAACATATTTTTGTTTATTGCTCTACAAACAACATGAAGATTGCTTTACTTCTCCCCTACCCCCCAACCCCAGGAATCTTATCATTGTCTACTGGCATAAAGTAAAAACAAACAAAATACTTGTTAAAGGAGAAATTGCAAAGTTGAAACTCTGTAGTGCCCATATTTCTCCTTGAAAGTCTCATATGACTCAAAAACATGGTCTAGATATCCACCTGCATTGTCATCAACTCCAAGCTAACACATGCTTGTTAGCTCTAACTATTCCTACTTTCATTTCTTCTAATGACTGAGTTAATTTATCCCCCCTTGCCTTTCACATTAGAAGCCCTTGAAGGTATAGGCTCAGGAATTAACAGAAAAAGCAAAACTGATCCAATCAAAGTAAACTTATAGGGTTGTTCACTCATTCCCTAAAAACTTTTTTAGTGAAAGATCATTTTTCCAGGCCCTCTGAGAAGACAGATTCCATGGTACAGAAATAAAGAACTGGTAGCTGAGCCTCTGTGATAAGCAACTATTGGCTTAAAAAGCTCTAGTGGCTAAACAGTAATCTCAATGTTTATAACAAAAAATGGAGTATGCTGAAAATTATTTTAGGGAAATATTTTTAAAGTTATTGTTGGATGACTAGAGTATGGGGTGGAGTTGACCCTAGAGAAATGAGACCAGCAATAAAAGGAAATGGACAAGCACATGCTTGGCTGAAGTCAGCACAGTTACAGAAGACAGGACTGACCAAGAAGGAGCAGAAAAACAAGATGAATGATGTGAAGCTTGCTGTTTTGGGTGGTGAAGGTACAGGCAAATCTGGTGAGTGGTGATGTTTTCTATGGTATAGTGTAGAATGCAAAAAGT